CTCCTGCTCTATCTTTCTCGTTTCTTGTGTATTCTGTTTCGCTTTGTTTGCTTTGGGGCGCGCGCGTCGTGCTCTAATCTGATGTTGTCCTGCTCACACACATAAAACACACACAGATACACTCTTCTTTGTTTGAGGGGAATCTTTTTTTGTTGCTTTATTTCTTATGACCGCAAGTGAGAATGCTCTTTCTAAATAGAGTGCGAAAAAAAGGTTTTGAAAAAGGAAATTATGGGAATAGAAGGAAAATTCATATAAAATCGAGGACATCGATTTTGAGGAGCAGTAATATATAAAAATATATATAAATTATATACTACATTAACTAGAGATTCGATTTGGAATAAAATAGGTTAATACTTATCAAATCATCCGAATCATTGTATGGTTTTGATTGTAATATGGTAAATTCCAATATTCCTTATATCTGTATTACAGATATAAGTGCACCTGCAAAAACTTGTATCTACCAATTTTCGCATTTTTTTCCAAATATCTTCTATTAGTGGGTAACAAAACATATTAACACCTCCAAAAACACAAACCAATTAATACAATATCCTTTCCCTCAGTTCAAAAGCTTAGAGTATTCCCATTGCCGCCTTGCAGTTATTACCCATACACTGCTCTCTCGTTGTATTTTTGTTGTTGCAGCATTTTTTCTCTCTCTTTTGGTTTGCCAGTAATTCACCCCGCGGTGACATTTTGGTTTGACAGACAAGACGTGTCCTTCGTCCTTTTTTGCATTTCTCTGAGTCTCGTAGTCGTGGCTATGCGGCAAGTTTATCGTTTTGTTGTTGATACAAAAACCCCGCGTCCTCGTTCTCGGCCTTGTCCACATTCACCATCCACGTCCGCGTGAGGATAAAAGGATGTTAAGTAAATATCTTAAAAAGCCTCTCTCTCTCCCCCGCTTCAGCAATTGAGAAATTGCAGACGACGACCTCTGCAAAAATTCGCTCGTTCCAGGGCGAATGTCCGCTCATTTGCGAGGGCCATAGGAAAAGTTTAGGGGGACTGGGGTCATTCTAATCTACTTTTTGGACCACGACTCCTCCTTCTCCTCTACCTCCTCCCACTCTAGTGGCAGGACACTTTCTGACATAAATCATTTGCATACGAAATAAGAGGCCAATGCGAGAGAGCAGAGATGCCTGCGACTGAGCGTCGAAGATGAATGCGAGAACAACACCCAGAACGCAGCGGCGGAAAATGGGTACGGTACTAAGAGACAGGAAAATTCCTTTCAATTTTCGCACACACATACAATTTTATTAATTAAAACATTTTTTTCTTCTGTTTGTGATTGGAGGAGAGACAGAAAACGCAGAACCCCAGAGAGGATCGAGGAGCGCAGCAGAGCGGGCTTGGGCAATTAATTCCAAACATTCGGGACGCTTTTTCTTTGTTAAGTTTTTTGTTTTTTTCTTGTTTTTGTTTTTGGGTGCGCAAATTATCCATTGCTTTCCTAGCGCGAAATAAAATATCACAAACAGTTACAGCCCCCTCATAAATAATGGGAATTTATGCCACAAACAACAACACTCCAATCCGAATATCCGAAAATACGAAAAGAACACCAAAAGCCAGAAGCCAACTTTTCGCCGCCTGAAATTACCATTCAATCATTTTGTGATTGCCTCAAGCAGGAGAGAGCTCGGGTGTGGCACGGGCCACGCGTTTCTACCTTATTCAATTTGGTATTCTTAAGCAGAGGTGGGGGGGATTGGGTCGGTGGGATTAATTTCATTTGGTAGTTGGTTCTCTGTGCTTTTAATTTCTGCAATTTATTCTAATAAGCCTTCTACTTCGAATATATTTTGCATTCAAATTGGTTCCTTTTTCATCACGGGTTTCGCCTGTCGGAATGAGGTAGGAGCAGGCTACCTGGATCATTCCATTGGGATTTTTGTGTGCATAGATTTTGATATTGAAGAGTTTCAAAAGTCCTTAGAAGGCAAATATAATGATTGAATAATGAAGTAGGAAAGAATATAGCTTTATTTATATCCCCGACATCAAATAGAGAACCTTTCTCATGATTATTTTGTCCTATTTATTCCGATTTTAAAATATATTTTTTTCGAATTTACTTTTTGACAAATGTTGTCCTTCCTTTAAATGTCTATACAATAGCAAATTCTACCTATCGTTAACTAGATTTTTTTCTATCCTTACTTCTCTAGTTCCTTTGTTTTCTATTCCCTAAAAATCGCCAAACCTTTTGCCATGCTCCATAAAGAACTTACTACTCCCCCCAGCCAGAGATTTCTACACCAAGCAAATCTCATTTCAACAATTTTGCAATTTTAATCAGCTCTATCTTTATGGAGGTTTGGATAGCCCCAAGACTCCTACCATATCCATCCACCCATTCACCCACCCATAGTGTTGGCATTGTTTTAGGATACCGCTTTAGCTGGATGGCTATCTGTCATAAATCTATCACATTTAATGGCCGCCTCGGCCTCGCCTTAGCGCTGCACATAATTTTATGTATTTTATGCTGTAAATTGTTAGCCATAGCGCCTCACACACTCACACAAAAACACAAATCAGCTGCAAAAGCAACCCTCGGCCAGTAGGAAAGCCTGGAAATACCATCCCAAAAACCACACACCACCCCCGAAGGAATGAGGCAGACGAAGACGAGAAAACACGAAATTTCCACGCACATCTCTGAAGACTCACAAATTTCATAAAGTGGCAATTCAATCAATCAATTTTGACAGCAGCAACGGAGCCCAAACCCAAGCCAGTGGCAAGGTTTGTGTTCTGAGGGTTGGACCGTCTATCATATCGGGGTGGACGTGGACGGGACAGAGTTCTGAGCTCCCGTCTATGGCCATTTTAACCGTTATGCTCACGTACACAATCACACAACTCAAACTGATTTTCTTACCGGTGGGGGAGAAACGTCAGCCCAGGCCCCTGCCCTACCCCTACCCATTTTTCAGGGAGAAAAACCAAAATAAAGCAAATATATGCATATATTTCCCTTAGACCCTCGCCCACACTGACACACCTGCATCCCCCTTTTGGGGGCAACAACTTTAGCTTCAAGGCGTCAGGATCCATTGGCCATCAGAGTCCGCACTCCAAGCAGTCCGTCAGGCCGTAGACCAAAAGACTCCTGCCTGCTTGTCCTCACCACTTGGCAGTTTAAATATTTTTTAATTGCCTTGTCACTGGAACCCACCTTCTACCGCTTTTCCTCATCCACCACCATCCCTTTCAAGACATTTATTTTCTCTGCTTCTTGGTCTTCTTTGTTCTAACCCAGCTATTATCCTTATTTATTTGTGTTTCGCTTCTGTTTCATTGCTTTCACTCTGCTTTTGCTTTTGGCATTGTCCTGCGGATTCGATAAATTTTTCTGAAAAAAATAAAAAGCAGCCTAAAGAAGAATTCCAAGACAAAAGAAAACGAAAAGGGCAAGAAAAGTGACTAGGATTGGAGCGGAGACAAACGAAAGCAAAAGCTAATGATAATGAGAAGAACGGAGAAAAATGGGAATAGAAGAAAGTTAGAGGGAGGTCCAGAATGTGTACTAGTGAGCAATTGTGGAGTGATGAAAACCTACACTTTGGTGGATATTGGTGTAAAAGTTTAAGTTTATTTAATAATGAAACATCCTCTCCATGATGGATGAAAGCTATCTTATACAATCATAATATTAATGGGTGTGAGTGTATATGGAGAAGAAAACCATTCGAGAATACATACATATGTATTTGGCATTAATGAAATCTTACATGCTTATTCTTGGCATTATTAATGGCATCACTAAGGTAAGAAAACCTGAACAGCTCTTATTGATTTATAAATTGATCCCTTGAAGAATGCCAAAATACATACATAAGTTCTTCACTTTTAAATCCCAGCAAACATATCCACTTAAAAATTGTAGTTCCCCTGTTACTACAAAAAAGAAAATATCCGAATCCCATGTGGAAATCCAGTCAAAGTCCACCATTTCTAATAAACAAACAGCAAGTCCCCCGGCACAGCCATGTTTTGTATCTTTTTGAGTACACAAATAAATGTATCCCCACCCGATACTGCCAAGAATGCTTTATGCTGAGTATCTGTGTGTGTATTGGCCAAGTGCCTCGTGTCCGGGGTAAGTTCATGGCCAGTGAGCGTGGCCACGTTGACAGGTGATTGATTGACAGAACCTAAAGAGCAGGCGAGATGGCAGACAGGGCAGCGTGTGTCTGTCTCTGCTTTCTGGCTCTTGCTGGAGGTTGGAAAACATTTGAACGGCTGCGACTGCTCCGCCCAGACACAAAAGGAGGAACCAACATTCGGCAACCAAGAGAACCATTCATATGAATGTAAAATATATTCGCATGTGTGTGGGACTCTTGAATTCACATCCATGCAAAAACATGTTTTTGAATATATTTTGAAGATAAATAACTAGTATCTGTTCATGTAATGAGTACATACTATGTAGATATGGTGGATATTAATTTTTTTGTTGATTTTTCTCTAAATGCGATATGTGCATTTTTTTTACAAGTAAGCATATTTAATATTTAATTGAGTGCGTAATAAGATTTTCCATTTTTTACACACAAAACAATTACGCAATTAATTTAATTTTTTCTCATTTTTAAATACATTAAAATAAATCCCAAGCAACAACATTCAAATCTCTAACGGACATTTTTTCGTCTTTAATTGCTGTTCGAATTTCGAAGTCAAATCTAATTCGTGTCAATTTGTATGCCTACGAAATGGCTCTCACGAAACGTTCGAAATTCGAACTCGCTCTCCGCTCTCTTTCGCAATAACAAAATAAATCAGCTGTTCTTTTTTTGCAGCCGGCGTTCGTTTGTTTCAATAAACAAATAAATTCAATAAAATACGAATTTTACAACAAGTGGGAGTTATTAAAATAAACAAATTTGTTACACGGCAAGCAAAACAAACATTGAACCCTGCTCAGCAGTTACTTTTGTTGCTTTTATCAAGTACCCTACGAATGAACTTACCGAAAGACGCAATTTTCGCCAACAGCAAAGGAAGACATAAATTTAACAGTTTATTATTGGAATCGCTCACCGAAGCTGCATACTTTATGTTTAATACTTTACTTTATGCATTTCAATTAGTTTAAACAATAAAAACAAAAGAAAACAGCACTAATTGAAGCCACAGCGCACTTTTCACTAGCAACCATACGGCAACGCGTTTGCCAGTTCGAAATTCGAAGTTGGGCAAAGTCGAAACGAGAGAGAGAGCGCGAGAACGTGAGAGAGATTAGGCGAGTGAGAAATGCGTGAGTGCATTCGAAAAGTTGAGCACTTATGAGTTTGAGTGGAATAATTCTTACTTTTAGCAGTGGAAAAAAACTTTGAAATATATTGGAAATTACTCAATTAAACTTTACGCGATAATTAATGTAACTTTACACCTATCTTAAATATGGCCGCAAAACAGGTTCAAAAAACTTTATAATTATCTACAAATTAATCAGACTTAATTCAATCTACATATGTACATACATATGTAAAAACTATCTTTAAACAGGGGCCCAGGGGCATAATATTGATGCAACAAAATTCTACACATTTCCTGTGTCATTAGCAGCAGTTAGTGGGAGAAAGACAGCACAACAGGGCGAGGGCGATAGCAAGAGTAGGGGCAAGACAGTAGACAGCTAGCGCAGAACCTCACATTTTGTTGGAACGATTTCTCAAATGTCATTGGAATAATTCGTACATATTTCTGAAACATGTTTCAATTTTTTTTTGCTGGACATTTGAAAGAGAACTCCAAGAAGAGGGGGCACCTCTGGCTTGGTTGGGGGGGAGGGGCTACTGAAGGGGACTAGAGGAGAACTAATTGCGTGTTCAGTGCAAAAATCGTTTCAATTTATAGCCTCAGGTTAAGTTTATGCTCCACACACAAACACATATCCGTTGCCGCGTATATTAATGAAGCCTCAAATGAACTATCCGCACTGATGGACTCTCCTCTCATTCTCATGCTCAAGGGAGGAGGAGCAGAAGAGACTGAGACTGAGACTCAGACTACAATCCCTAGCAGCCAGTGCCCCTTGATTTATACGCTTCAATCCCACATTTTTATTTCTTTGGCTGCCATTTAGCTAAAATATTTCATATCTGCAGTGCATCGCCATCTCTCCTGTGAGTAGTCGTCTCTGAGCTTTTGACTCGAAGGCCCCAATGGAAAAAGAACGAACCTGGTCCAAGTGGAAGTGAGAGGCAGCAGGCAATGGACAGCCGCCTGCCCCGTAATTATGCGATTTGTTATTCGAGATTTGAGGCGATTGTGACTGTGAATCATGTGGAACTCAGTGGAGAGAGAGGGAGAGAGACAGAGAACTGGAGAGATGATTTAAAATGCGATTTCAATTCTGGCATTTCTGATTCGCCCTGGACTCTCCACTTGTGTCTGGAGTCCAATGGAGTGCCGATGGTGTCCCCTTCTGCTGTTCTTGACGACGACGACTCTCAGGTATCTGCCGAAGCATTGCATGCTGCTATGCCCCCTACACCCATGGAGGAGCAGAATGAGGGAGGGAACCATTGCATGTGCAACGGACGGACATTGGCATTCGCTGACTGACTGACGTACTTGGAGGCTGACTGATATGGGTGGAACCCAAAAACGATGCTCCAAAGAGGCAGCTCGATTGCCTCATTTTGCCTGTTTGAAAGGCAGGAAGCCTGCAGTATGTTTTAGAGCCAAACGAAAATATTGGTACAACGAAAAAGTGGTGGTAATAAATAACTAGTATCAAATTATTAAAATAGAATAGAATTATTAAAATATTATTCATTTCAAATAAATTTCAAAAATTTTAAATCGGAGAAAATATTCTTAAAAAATACAAAAGTAAGAGAGAACACTTTCAAGTTGTTTTTAATCACGGTACTCGAAGAGTCAATCGGGTTTATTGTATTTTTGGTCGAAATGTGTAATACACAGAAAGAAACGTTTTCTACCCCATTCAGCATCAATAGCCACGTCGATGAAGCCATGTCTGTCTTTCCGTTGGATTGGTTCAGATTGGATAATTAGTATTACCCGAATGACGAAATTCATGTTCAGTGCCAAAACCCAGCCCACCCCTTCCAGCAGCTCTGTTTATTTTGCTTGCCCATACTGTGAGTAGTTAGACGTGGTGAGACGTGTGTGAGACGTGATGTAGACAAAGATGACAGATGTAAAAAAAATCATGAGGTTCTACATATGTATCACACTAAGGTTACATACAAAAGTATGTACATATATACTGATTGAGTACCGGATATAAAAGTTGTGATGCGTACGAAGCGTCTCACAAACGTTCCTATTCGTTCATCTAGATTCTAGAATCTAGAATGACAGTATTTCCACCAAATTTCATTATTACACGTTAATATGTAACACGAAGTGAAGAGGTTTTACATAGAAGTAAGTGTATTTTAAACACACATTTCTTTACTTAAAACAATATCATGCGTATCTGCGATTTAATAATATCATTAATCATGACACCGAATCAATCAATGAACACCGAATGAAATAATAATAGATAAATAAAATACATATTTTCTGCTATTAATATAAGAAATTAGAAAAGGCAAGGCGGAAGTTTCAAATCGTTAGTGCTGGCACCCGACATGTCTCTTGCCTGCTACTAACATTTCCCCTTGAGTGTCTAAAGCTTATATACGATCCATGGGATCGACTGGGAGAGTGTTGGGCCTGGTGGTGGCTGGCTGCTTGATTGCGATGCATGAGGCCTGGGTTTCTACTTTAAGGTGGACTGAGGCGTCGTCTTCGTCTTCATCTAAATCGCGCCCGTCCGTCCGTCCGTCGTCTAGGTCGTCGTCGTCATCGGCAACGTCCATTTTGGCAGCAGAGAGAACATTGCCAGTTGTTGGGTTGTGGTGGGGTGGGTAGGTGCGGGTTGTATTCGTTAGCTTTTTGGCGGGGGCTCTCCGGGCATAAATCACTCTCTCGGCTTCGAAGATCCGAGAGTCAAGGCGAGTCTCCACCTCTTTATTTCGCTTCTTCTGCTGGTGCTGGTGGATCGTCTCGAAGTTCATTCCGTTGATTAATAATTAATTTGCCTGTTGCCTTTGATTGCCTGAGGTTATCGGTCTACCGGGCTCACCTGAAGACTCCTGGACTCCCGGACTCTGACTTCTTTATAATGAACGTTTCGAATGGATGGATGCCAGGGTGTGTGCTCTGTATGTGTGTGTGCTGCCAGGACATTCGTCGTACATCATCCCATCCCAAAAAGCGCGCCCAATGCTCGATGTTCGATACTCTTTGTCTGATTGCTTTGGCTCACAGGTTTCTCCCCCTCTTCCCAAACAGCCTTCTTCTGCTGCTCCCTCCTGCCAAACTCCAAACTGGTATTTAAGAACCAATCAGATCCCCAAGCAGCAGATTCCCCCAATAACAACAACTAAGATGGCAACGGCATAAATTAAGCAAAAGGTGTTTATACATTCGACAATAAATCAATTAGCAAATTTGTAATTATTATGTTCATAAATCTTCACAACTTCATGGCAGCCCGCCAAAAAAGAAACGTAGCATGAAAGATCCGAAAGATCTGCAGTGGGATTGCAAGAAATATAAAGGGACAGAAATTGTAGGTGTGGACAGCCGCAAGTCGGAGAAGATCGAAAGAATTTTCTTACTATTAAGGTTGGTTTTCCTGTGGAAAATGTGTATGGAAATTTAAAGATAAGAAAAAATGGTTATAAGGAAATTATGAAACGTAAATAAAGTATTTAACAGATTGAACAAAAGAGTGTCTGAAGAAAAGTAAGTGAGAAAGCACTTTCAGGGGAGAAACTTCCTAAATTTTTTCCTAATTATGGGGTGGGGTTTTACAAGCGAAATGTTTATAAAAATTCTAAGAAAACGAATACTTAGAAAAGTTTGTGAGAAGCTTCGTACGTGTCTTAGTGTTTTATTTTTAAATTTTACGTTCCACATTTTACATTTTTTCTACATATGTATGCCATCTACATCTACATACATTTGTTCTCACGCCAACACGCTCTTTTAGCTCGTGAAAGCATGTGCAAAAAGTAAAAAAAGCTGCTGCACAGGGTGGGGGTGGTCACAGCAAACTAGTTTTTTCATTATGTCTATAATAACGATACAATATGATCTTAATTCGGTAATCTGATAGATATGTTCGTTTCCTACGGAATGAATGGAATGCTTTCTTTTATCTACAAAATTGTGGATACTGTAGATTTTCGCTCTTTGTGGTGTCGGAAGGGGGAGTGGTAAATTACAGTGAAATACACTTGTATCAGTGTTAGCATACAACAGACTGGACTAAGAATTTGGTGGCTTTAGCTCCAAGCGCCAAGCGCCTCTACCTAACCTAACCTAGTCTCGCCTATTGATGCTGTTCAAGAATATATATACTTTATGGGGTCGGAAACGTCTCCGTCTGTGTGTTACATACATACATCCCACATACAATATACCCTATTAACTCTTCGACTACCGGGTATAAAATCACTCCTATAGGACCTAGAACGATCTTCTTAAAGCTTTTCATCAGTATTCTTAAATGATAGCAATTCCCGTTAGTTATATTGTTTAACTTTTTCATATGAATGAGAACTCCCATATGAATTCCTCAGTTACTAAATGATTTTTCAAGAATTTTCGTGAAATTTTGCATGATATTTTTTTTATTTATTCTACATTTAAATGAAAACCTTCCGTCTCTCGTGTATTAATTCGATAAATGTTCTGCCACCAATCATTCACATACTTTGCTGCCACGCAAAATCTTCCAGTAAGTAGCATCGGCTCTGGATTTAAGGGATGTGGCCCAAATGACCTCAAACCCTTTGTTTCGTTTAACGTTTCATTCGTCATTGAAATTCAGTTGGTGGTGACGCCCACAATTTTCGGTGTGTTAATGCGCCATTATTAACACATCATAACTTAGCACGCGCTACCAGAATAAAGTTATCCAAAACAGGACCAAAAGTTGCCATCAATCAAGCCGAAAGGCCAACACCAGTCGACTCGTCCAAGGGGATAAGCAAATGACGTGGATGCAGACAGCTCCAAAGGGGGGCAAAGTTACCCCACCATATACCCCTATCATCCTAACCATCGTACATCGTTTATTTATGCATAACACGATGCGAGGGCGAAGCCGCAAAGTGATTTTAAATGGGGGCCA